AGGTCAGGGGCTGTGCTCTCCCCTGCGAGGTGGCTGGCCTGCTTTGCTCCTCCTTGTCCCCCACCCCCCCGCGGGAATGGGGCTTTTCTTGCTGCAAGATCGAGTTGTTTAAAAATTGAGAGGCCAGTCCAGCCCTCAGAAATCATATTTTGGCATGTCAGCTGCACGCCATCCTAGGTGGGATGTGGGAGAGCAGGGCGTGTGGGGAGAAGGGGCTCCCACCTTGGCCCTTCAGGAGAGTCTGTCCCTGTCGAGAGGGGCTTTGCCAGCAGACAGGGAGCCAGGACCACACGCGTGGGGCCTAGGTGGATGGAGGGCAGGGCTGCCTTGGCTCCAGCGGCACCTCCATGCCCTGGGACGACCCTTGCTCGGGCCAGATGCGGCCCCGAAACCACCGTCGCCCAGCGGTGCCAGGTGCCGCCTTGAGAAAGGCCGGCTCCCAGGGCGATCTGCCACTGCCCGCGCCTCAGGTGCGAGCAGGAGATAATGGCGTTTTATTTGGACGGCTTTGGCCTCCCTGGCTCCTGCTGCTCTCTCACAAACGTGGCTGCAGCCTCCCCAGCGTGCAGCGGGAGCTGCCGGATGATTACCCGGGCGCCACGGCCATGTGCTGGGTCAGGACAGCGGTGTCCCTGGCTGGAGGCTACAGCCCGAGCTGGCTGGGTGGCTACCTGTCTCAGGGAGCAGAGGAGGGAGCGCCTTCACCTGTAAAACAGAGGGAAAACAGTGAGATGTGGGTGCTTGCCTCCCCATACAGAGTGCTCGCTGTGTGATTCGAAGTCCACCACTTCTCTTTGTGCCTCAGTTTCTCCACCTGTGAAATGAAGGTGATTAACTACCTGCTTAATGTTCCTCTGAGGCTTAATTCCTTGTGTTTACAAAATGCTCAGAGGTCCTGGATGGAGGGAGGCATTAAGAGCTTGCATGCACTGTGCTCATAGCCTGTTGTTTCAGGCTCCAAATCTTCATGCTTTTCTTAGATGACCTCTGCATCTCAAGAGTCTCTGCACTGATTCATTTTGAACTGGAAACTTGCATATTTGTTTGCTTTTCAGACAATTCTATTACATTTCTGTACGACTTTCTCTCTTCAGAATGCTACAGCCTTGGTTAATATTTGTCAAATGGAGTTCTGACTGTCTAAACCACTGGGACAAGTTTTATTTTATATGTCATCAGTAGGGGCAGAATGAGGAGCTTCGTGCTTGGCCTATTTGCTGTAACACAGTCTCAGGGCCATTGCATCAGAGTCAAAACAAGGAGCAGCTTGTTTCCAAACAAGAAGCATGGAGGAAAGTCTTCTCTGCCTTCTTCCCTGTAAGGGAAGGGGGGGTGGAGAAGAAAGTTATCTTTAACAGATTCTAAAAATGCCTTTTCCCAAATATGCAGTCAGTCCCTTCAAAGGTCTCTTTGTTTATTTTCAGGAAGAAACCCAAGACAGCTGAAAACCAGAAGGCGTCTGAGGAGAATGAGATTACTCAGACGGGTGCATGCAGCGCCAAGCCGGGCCTTCCCTGCCTGAACCTTGAAGCTGTTCCGTCTCTGAGCCCGGCCCTCATCCACTCACCACATTCACCAACAAACCTGCACGCACACACAGGGTCATCTGATTGTGAGTACACCAACACGCTGCTGGGTTGCGCTGTGGTTCTTGAAAACACGCTCCTTACTGCGGACCAGGTTTTCCAGTTGGATGCTCTTTCCATAATGGCATGAGCAGGACTTCCTCAGGGCTTACCTTTTCCCTTCTTTGGGAATTACCACTGAAACAGAGTGTTTTGTCTTAAGGTCGTGATAATGCCATCAGTCAGAGGAAGCTGAGAGGATGTTGTTGGGTCGGGTTGCTGCTTCTTACAAATTAAAAAGGGAAGACCCCTCAAGCATGTCTCTTTCCAACTAGAGCTGTAGTTATTCCTCTCCAGGTAGTCACATGCTTCTCGTTACCCAAGCATATCTACTGACTGGGGATTTTCAGCCTGTGCTGTATTGCAATGGGAGGAAACAACTGTCTGGCTCTGACACCCAGGATTGTAAAGGATTTCCACAAAGAAAGGGGGCAGTGTTTTGTGGAGAGGATCAGTCTGTGACAGTCTGGAAAATCTTTGTAGACCTGTGTGGTTGTACCAGTTTAAGGCCCTTGTTTTGAGTGCATTCACTTTCAGATTACTCAGCGTGGGTTAATTGGCCTTTTAAAAATGTTCTTTTCCATTTTGCCAAAAAATACAAAAATAAGGGAGGGAATGATTAAAACTGGATTTTGGAAAGTCAGAACTTACCCTGTCGGTTCTTCAAAACATTGTCATTTCACAGTGGTCCCTGCCTGGAAGTCTCTTGGGCAAGAATGTGCAGGGTGATGTGAACCTCATCATTCACTAGGTTTAGAATATGTAGTTTACCTCTTTTGCGGTGGTTTTAGGATGTTGTAAAATTTGCAAGGGGGAAAAAATGAGAAAGAAAGGTGATGACACCAGGTTTCAAGAGCTCAGAAGCCAAGCAGACTTTGCAAAGGCCTATAAAAAAAATCAGGATATGACAATAAAAAATCAGATTAAAAAGTATGTATATCCTTTTCTTTTTTTAATTTAAAAATCCTGCCTCAGGGCCAAGCTTGGAAGCAGCCAGGTTATAGGGATCATCACTATCAAAATCACTTTAGCTGCAATTCATTCCTGTTGGCTTCTGACTTTATTCATTATGAGCTTCTTCTAGAGATCTTGATTTTAATAGAGCTGGTAAACATTGGGGAGACTTTCCTAAATCTCACCTGGTGATTTGGGGAGAAGAAAGGGATGTGAAACAATTGAGCAGCAGGCAGCATGCAATTTAGTATATACAAGAATTCTCTTCAAATTGGAGATGTCAGGCTCTTTGTTAAAACTGGGGTACAGTTTTGTCTTGTAATGTTTTCTGAAAACAAAAAGCTTGTGAAAAGATGCAAAAAATGAGCAGAACAACAAGAAATAATAATCCTTATTTTCAAACAAAGAATCTCTTTATCCCATTCACAAAGATGAAAGAGTTCATTAGTAAATGGGATTTGAAACCTCACACTGATGTTTTTTGACAGTACAAATGGAAACCCATGAAAGCAACCTTAGGACAGAGGCCAGCAGGGATTGTAGGGAACTTGGAGAATGAACTCCTGCTTTTGCTTTCTGAGGTGGCCAAGTTCAGGGGTGAGGAATATTGGCAGAGGGCAGTAGGGGGAGGTGGAGCCGGCAGCTCTTCATGCTCTACCTGTTCTGTGGACAGAGTCTTTTAGACCCCAAAGTTTTTCATGTCCCCAAATCACCTTCCATTCCTACTAAATTCACAATACCAATATGAATAAACTTCAAACCCAGGTTAGGTGCTCCTTTCGCACTGAAATTGTTTTTTTCAGAAAAGAAGTTTAATAATAATTTCAGCATTAATATTGTCCTATCTCAGGAATTGTTGAAATTTAGTTCCCAAAATACAGTTAGAGTTCTGCAAAAAATCAAGAAATGGTAAGATGTCTTGTGGTGTTGATCTCTGTTAGTTGATTCCATGTGCTTTGAAACCAATGGAAAAACTCCCATTATTTATGATGGGTTATAACCTTTATCAGGCTGTATTTGTACGAGGCAGTGTGCATATAATTAGTGTTTGGCATGCCGTTGCAAAATAGCAATGCCAGTCTCTCACATGAACTAAAAATGAGGCATGATGAATATTTACTGCATGTTTACTATAGCTATCTCTGTGTTATGTGGTTGTTTGTTTTTTTTTTAATATTGCCTCAATCCTTAGTGCTGGACTACTTTCATTGACCCAAGAGATTAATACCTGTGGCTCCTGACATTTAAAAATAGGCTTCCCTGTCATTACAAACTCCTTCTCCTTACCTCTTGCCTCCCCTGCCTTTTGGACTGATTCTTTCCCCTCGCCCTAGAATCCCTCCCTTTGTCCTTCTCTTCCCCTCCTCTCAGAGCTACATTGCCACATCTTTTTTCCTCTCAACTTTTGGACTTGTGGTGATGCATTACTTCTTTGGGCCAGCACAACTTCCTGTCCTTCTCTCTACCTTCTAGACACTACAACATTGCTTCTCCTCCCTTACCCAGACCACCATACTGCCTCTACCCCCACAACTGGGCAGATTATATTTCATTTTCAAAGGACATTCTTCATTCTGGTAGGGAGTTTTCTAGCGGATTGTAAATAATTTAAAAATACTTAAAAACTACGATTAGACAGGAAGTTTGAGAGGAATTTTCATTGAAAATATCAGTAACACCCAGAAAGAGTCAGCATGGTAGGCTATATCAATTCTTGGAAAAATGCACTGGTGTACAGATGGTTCCATAAGCCCTCATTCATGTATCTGGAAAAAAGACTTGGATTTTATGGGCCACCTATTCAAATCAGTTTGAAATCTTCACTGACCATTTTGCATGCACAGTCACTAGTGCTTGGCGGAAAACAACACCACATATTTATTATGAGAAATATTCAGAAGCCAATCTACTTTAAAAAATCAGGGTGCTTTTGGAATGATTCAGATCAAAATACTTTTTCCAAGCATAGGAAATAAAAACTCTATGATAGCCATCTGCTCCTCGGCTGTAAAAGGCAGAGGTGAAGAAAGCCTAAGCAATAGTCTGAATGCCAGTCTTACTGAAACGAGTACTTAGCAAAAAAATCTGGGTAAAGTCATATGTGACGCGCAACTTAATATAGGGCTTAATTCTGTAGTGTAATACATTCTGCATGCTGTTTCTGGTGCCGCTTATTCCCAATGAAATTGAATTACTTCTGACCCTTGTAGGACTGGGTCCTAGATTTCTGGATTTTAACATTATGATAAATTTCCAGTGCAGATGAATCCTTGAAGCAAAATCCAGAACCTAGGATGTATTGTGTCCAGTTCCCATCTCTTTCAGTCTTGGGAAATGCTAGCTCACACAATGCAATTGGAGAAACAAGTTAGAGGAAAAGGTGCTTTCTGAAGTAAGCATTTTCATGTAGGACTTGGCAGATAAAAAGCACCACTTTGAATTAATTTGGAATTAAGTCATAGAGTGAGCTGATAGAGCTCCAAATGAGTTATACCTCTAGCTACTCAGCTGTCACAAACAGATGTAGCTGCTTACCCAGAAGAAGGGTGTTTGTGCAAAAAGCTACAAGGACAAGCATGGAGGCACAGGTTCTGGAAAGGTTACAAAGAAGCAAAGGAAAGCATATGAGATTGTTGCTATTTGCAGTTTTCCACATACTTTCTTGCTTATGGATAGAGAATGCATGAAGTTGGTAGGGTCCTAGTTTGAAGGCTGAACTGCCTCAGGTAAAGCTTCTAAAGATTTTGCTGAGAGGGAAGGAAGTCATCAGGACTTGGCTGTATTTAAACTGATTTGGTCTGTATAGGCCACTTACTTCAGGAGCCCTTCAGAAAGCATCTATAACTATGTATGTTTTGCCAGTGCCAAGAGATAAGTTCATTTTGGCAGAAACTTTCACGAGTTCTCAGAGATACAATCAGACAAAAACTTCATTCAAGCTCTGATGTATGCATCTTAACAGATGTGTCCAAACTCAAAGGAATCCCACGGGAACAGTGCAACTGAATCTCTTTGTCTCTATTGATAGTTAAAAGAGTTATTCTTAGACATTGGATGGTCCATCTGTGAAGGAATTTGTTCCAGACAAGGGAAAAGCAACATCTTTGCAAAGAGTTTCCATGGGACTGAGAGGCAGGTTGGACGATCATTGGAAAAACTGCTGAAGCAATTTTTATGATTTTAGAGAATACAGAATTCTTGCAGAGACCTGAGATTCTGGTAGGGAATGAAAGTTGAGAAGGAAAGTGAGGCATGGATAATTTTTGATAAATCCATGAAACAATCATTGGCAAGACGTTGGGATGGGGGAGGACTTTCTAAAGTTATGTTTTAGCAAGGGACCGGGGAGGTTTTGTGCATTAAATAGAAGGCACTTTATAAACACTGTCGGTGATGGACCACGTCTGAACCCTTTGTCCATACATGCTCAAGTGACGTGGCTGACTTGGTCCAATTCCAGCATTTTTTAGCTTTCATGGGATGGGAACTTTGAGGCAGTCTGTTTTCTTTTTCTCCTTCTAAGTTCTGATTTTTGTAGCTTGATAGCCTTCCAGCATAATGGGGAAAGGCAGAGAAGAAACCTCACAAGGTTCCTGAACTCCACCGAGCGTTGAGAGTGGATGTGGAAACTCTGGGGTTTCACTTTCTTGAGCAGCTAGAGGCACCCACCATTCCCTTCCCATGAATCAACAAGTTTGATTTGCCTGGGGCTAATATAGAGGCCAGATGGATCTGAAGATGGTTTGGCCTCATCTTTATGTTTTAGGTTTCCTGTGTTTCTCTTTGAGGTTCTGTGGCAGGAAGAGAACGGTTACATGCCCTTATGGTCTTCCCTCTGCCTCTGAAAATTTGTGGTTATGATTCCCTAGGAAGTGCTCTGGAGCTTTCAAATGATCTCCACTCACAGAGGGGAGGAGGGGGGCCCTCATTCTACCAGCTTCCTTGTTTTCAGAGGCAGGCAGTACGTCAATAGTAATTTCATTTGTATTTTTGATAATCTATGTATGGAATGTGTTAGCTAATGCTGAGTATT